TGCGCCATTAAGAACATTTCTATTTCTTTCCTTATATATTTTTATGTATCCCTATATAAAAATATATAATGTACTCTAATGAGTATTTATATTTCTTTATGTATATATTTTTATGTATTCCTATATGATGAAATAGATATAAAAGTATATGCTATGTAAAAAGGCCATATATTTCTTTATATATACACTTTAATGTATTTCTTCACTACATATAAAGAAATATATATGCCTTTATATCATTTCTTTGCATAGGGAGTACATTTCTATATATATAAAGAAATGCACAAAGCCAATGTATAGACTATATGTAGAGAATATATGTTTATGTATTTTATCCCTATTTCTTTATATATCTATAAATTTATGGGCTATATATAGAATATATGTGGAAAATATAGTTCTTTATATGCATATTTGTGTATATATACACCCACACACGTACGTACGTACACACACATGTATGTTTATGTGTGTGTATATGTAATAAACAGACGATCTCAAGCACACACCCCAATACGAGCCCTGGGGGGTGAATTTTGGGGAGGGGGATCCCCAGCGCCTCTGCTGAAGACAGGCTGCGGTTTTGGGGCAGAAACGGGGCATTTCGGGAGGAGCATGAATGTACTTAACTACTGGAACACAGCGGGGCGGTTAATTATTATTATTATTATTAACTCTTATTTTTAATGGACGTTTTCAAAGTAATTTATGAGTCCGTGTGTGAGCGAGGACCTGGGGTCCTTGCCCAGGAGTGTTCTCTGGGGTCGGCCGTGCTGCGGGGCAGGGGGGGGGGTGAAAAAAGGAGAAAAACGAACATCAAAAAAAAAGAAAATAAAAAAGAAATAAAAGCGTAATTCTATAAAGGCGAAGGATTTGTGGTGCCCATGCGGCCAAACACCCCAGCCGGGGCTTTGGAGGGGTTTGGGTCTTATTTAATTCAGATTATCTATTTCAGATTATCTGCATTTAGTTTATCTATTTTCATCTCATTTATATACAGATCATTTCTATTTATTATAGAGATGATTTGAGATTATTTTCAGTGTATTTGTTTTCAGGCTATTTCAGATTACTTGTATTCGTATTATTTATCTAATTCAGATTATTAATATTCAGATTACTCGTATTCAAATTGTTTCTATTCAGGCAATTTATTTTCGATTTACATTCAGATCCCTTCAGATTATTTACATGCATTTTATTTCCACTTAGATTGCTTCTAGTCAGATTGTTTAATCCATATTACTTCCAAGCAGATTATTTATATTTAGTTTATTGACAATGCAGGTATTTTATTTTCAATTTCTTCCTATTCAGATTATTTCAGATCATTTATTTTAGTTTAATTTTTTTAATTTAATTTTATTTTCAACCCCCAATCCCAGGATGGCACGAGGAGGCTGGATGCAAAATCCCTCTTTATTCTGTATATAAAATTACTGGGGAGGGGGGAACAACAAGGGTCCATCACCCATAGGTTGGTTTCACCCATAGGCTGGTGTCACCCCTGATGGCATCACCTTTGGCCAGTGTCACCCCTGGGCTGGTGTCACCTCCAGGGTGGCATCACCCTTAGCCTGTGTGACGCCCAGGCTGGGTGTCACCTCTGGGTGGCGGTCCGTCTCCGTGGGTGCCAGTTGCCTGGGTCTGTGGGGTTCCTTGAGCACCACTCAAGGCCCCCACCCTGACGAGGTGTGCCCCACATGTCTGCCTCTCGCCTGGGGACATCCCCCTGCCGCCAGATGTCCCCAGTGAAGCTGGCCCCACATTCCAGTGTCCCATCATCCCAGGAGGGACCAGACCACGGGCACCTTCGCACCCCACAGAGTTTCTGGCACGAGGAGACCTGGTGTGGGGCGTGACGATGCTGAGTGACACCTGAGGGTGCTGAGGGACGAGGGGAGTCAGTTCTTGAACATGTCGCACAGCAGCTTCTCCATGGGGGTGTTGCCGATGGTCCGGCGGAAGAAGAGCAGCTCCACGCGCTCGGAGGAGATGAAACGCAGCGCCGGGAGGAGCAGCAGCAGCTTCCCGAACCTGGGGGTGAGGTGGGGCAGAGCCGTGGCTATGGGTCGGTGTCCCCCCGCCCTGGTGTCACTCCACAGGGACATAAAGGCATGGCCATACCTGACAGGTTGCCCGGGGTAGTGAGAACGGTTGTGCTGGCCAAGCATCACCTGCGACTGGTCCTGCAGGTTCTCCACCTGATCAGGGTCCTTCAGGCCACGTGTCTCTGCGAGGGGACAAGAGAGTGACAAGGGAGTGGGGACATGGGGACAGGCAGTGGCAGGTGCGTGGGTGGGTTCACCTCACCTGGTTTGAAGAGTACCACAGCCTTCATGCAGGCGAATTCGGTGGGGTCAACGGCCAAGGCCTTGAAGCGACCAAGGGTCTCCTGCAGTGCCCGGACATCCAAGGTGGCCGGCAGGAGCTTGCCGGGGACTGGCTCTGGGACAGCCAGCAGCGGGCAACTCTCCAGGGGCATGGACCACTGGATGGCACAGAGCAGGAACAGCTCACTCCACGCCTCCTCCAGCAGGATCACCTGGGGAAGAGAGGAGCAACCCCAAAACTTCCGTTAGCCCGAAAGCCTCCAGTCACCACGGTTGGTTGGGCTGAAGAGCATCTCCAAGACCCTGCAGTGAATGTTGTTCTCCAGCCATCCTACCGGTCACATAGATTTTTGGAGGGATCCGTCTTACCCCAGGGTTGTCCCCAAGCCTACCTGGTCGCGGAAGGGCAGGTTGGAGAAGACGGGCAGGTTTTTGGCCCATTTCACAGCCATGAAGAGGAGACGCGCCGAGGTTTCATAGACGTTTTCAGGGCTGGCCACGGGGGACGGCGTCACCTGATACTCACCCGCCGCCCTCCCTGGTTCCCTGCC